TCATTGCGTGATTGTAACGCAAAAATACATTGCGATAAAACCATTTTTGTCGATGAATCACAAATCATATTATCGATCGCACTGTTCGAGATAGTGCCAAGGCAATTGCGTCACATTTATTTAATTTTTAAAAAGCGAATAATAAATTATTTAGGTACGCGTAGCAGTAGGCAAACATATGGCGACTGTGACCTAGCTGTGGGGCGGCGGAGGGAGCTACAAAGGCACGCCCAAGTAGCTCTCCGCAGCGGACGAGAGGCAGTACGGTGGGCACTAGGCAGCGTACTCAGTCCCCACGCGCTGACCATCCTGCGCACGTCTGCGGGGTGGGGACCCCTCCCAGGGCAATGCGGGGGCATTGCCCTGGGAGACCCCTGCCGTGGATCCCCGGCTAGGCTGGGAGGTGCGGAGACGCGGCAGAACCCCTAAACGGGGATCCCGCGGTTTCGCACTTAGCAGCTTAGAGGGTAATCGTAGGGTTTTTTAGCGGAAATTATGCCGTAAAGGGTCCGAAAAAGTTACGGGGTCCTCAGTGAGCAGCTACTGCGGGGGCCCGTAAGGCTTGCGGGAGCCAGGAGTGAGGTCTGTTCGGCGGTTAGGTTTTGCCTGCGTCACAAAAAAGGCATATGGTGAGGACCCACGTATGATGTTTGAATGTTGACCTCCCACCGGGAAACGCAGTGTCACAGTACCCTCACTAGGAGGACTGACGACATCAAAGAATAGGGAGGAGCCACTGATTGGATACAGAAATACGAGATCAACCAAAATATAAATTATAAATGAATTTATTTCAATTACTGAATTAACCTATTTCGGTGTTTTTGGACACCTTTTCTGTTTACAGAAAATTTTGTCGGATCTTTTCTATTGAAATCCCTAAGAAACTTCTATCCAAAAGTAGGCGACACACATACTTTCCATACGGGGTTAATTACATCAAGGCTCAAATTAGTCTGAGTTATTATCATCATGTATGTTACAACAATAATTATTGATAAAACAGGTTGTCAGTTTAATCCAAAGCCTACAACAGTTACAGAAAATACTTGTCCTGACCGTCTTTATACCATGCTTTCGCCTCCTTTGCGAACTTTCAAAAACATACTTACGAAAAGCGTTAGAAAACTTAAGGAAAGACGGAGGAAATCGGTATGGTCGTTCTCAAGTTATGGCGCCCGACCAATGTAAATAGGGCTTTATATTTATATAAGTACGGAAGGGAAAGTAAGTAAAACTTGTTGTAGGTATAGAAAAATCAAAGTCGATATTATCATTTAAAATTAATAAACATAAATGATAATAGTAAGTATATTGAGTAAAATGTGTAAAAAATACTTTGAAATATCGCATTGTGAAGAATGTTCTTCGATCAATGTAGATCTAAGCAGCAAGATTTTTTTCCAAAATTTAAAAACAAAATGGGATATACATATCATGTATCTAACGATCACAAAATATATAATAATACAGAAGTCAAACGCATGTATGTACTTCACTTTTTAGTCATCATCCAACAGCCTATTAATTATCCCACTGCTTAGGCATAGGCCGTTCCCTTTGGAATGAATAGGATGACCCACCAAGCGGGTTCAGAGTGGATTGGTGGATGCTAACGACTGCAACGCAGCCACGGAAATTTTCTCTCCAAAAGTCATAATCAATATAGGTACCTACTAGTAATAGTACCTACTAATCACAGAATTGTTTTACAGTAGAAAGTTTTAGTTTACTCTAGGCTTTTAAAATAAAAAAATTAAAGAGCTTTTGGCTTATGTGTCGGCAACAATTTTTAAAACGAATCCTAATTGAGTCATTCAAATGAAAAAAGAAATAATTCAGCTTTTGTTGCACGTTTTTCGATGATTGTAATATTCAATGTGGAATTAATATCATCAGACAATTTACGCAATACTGTATGTATGTACTTACGTACAATTTAATTATTTGTCATTTCTGAGTACGGTATGGCTTTAAGTATCTTTAGATGCATTCCTTCATGACATCATTATTCGGGAAAACTACAACACTCATTAAAAAAATGTAAATGGTAAAATTGTCGGTAATTCAAAGATATCAATCGAAAAATCTCACGTTCAATCTCACAAGTTCCATTTAAAAAAAAGTTGGTGCGCTTTTAGTTCGTTTGAACCTCTACTTTCTGATGGTATACAAAATATATACATTACCATGGAAAAGATTATCAGAAAATGCAAAAACATCATGTGTTCGTCGTTTATTCATTTATGTCTACTATCTATCAATATGATATCCAAATAAAGAGTAAAAATAAATATTTTGAATAAAAAAAATATGAAAACAACTTGTTTACTTTCCTTTACATATAAATAAATTAGAAAAAGCAAAACATTTGCCAGAAATACTTTTGTGACTGTCCCGTCCTGGATGTGTCTCCTACAATGTCTAATAGTTTCAGCTTAATAAAAAATAAAAATGGGTGCGTGTACTTATGTAGGCGCGTGAGAAGTTATCCTTCTTTGGCATCGTTTAAAATTAGTTTTTAACACCCACTAAATAGAGATTCTATTTCTATTTTGTTGGTAGATTTTCTTAATGTGCGGTAAACACAAAAGTAACAGCATGAAGTTGGTCGCTGAAGCGACCAACTTCATACTGTTATTTTTTTGTGTTACAGTGATGCGCGCGCATCTTAAAATTTCACTCTCATCATTTTTTCATAACGCGCCTAAAGAAGTATAACTTCAATTAGTGCGCATTTGGGATATAAAAAGGTAAGTTATCACCAAAGGACATTGGGCAAAAATGTATAGACGCTGCACCCACGTTCGCCAGGGCTTAAACTACATTTGTTTGAAAGGTATTATAGTCATGATCATCTGTGCCAAAACGCATCAAATTCCATCCCGGGGGTCTTTAGTAATTTTAAGTTAAATAGGTACAAGTACTATAACGAACGAACATTAATGAAACAAGGGAATTAATTTAGTTAGTTCAACCCTACATAGGGTGCTCAGGAATTATGGTAGTACTTCTCAAGGTTCAAGGGTGCCCCCTTATGTTATTCTGCCACGCTAGAGTTAATCCGAAAATCCCCGCTTGGGTTGGGGTTTTTCAAACATTCTGTTCGTTTATAGTAAATTGTCTTTTATGCAAAACGGAGCGACCAAAGATTACACAAACTTGTCCACGCTTCGAAGAACACATGATTTCAGTTCATCCATACAAATTGACAAAACCGATAATCGTGTTCCAATATCCAAAGCGTGTTAGATAAAAATCAATCAAGTAGCAGGGAGCGCACAATCACAACGAAGTAAGACGAGTCGACTATTTGCAACTGCAAGTCCTTCAGCATCCGTAAACCGTTTTGAAATGTCTCAGTAAGAGCAAGCGCAGGATGGTGGACAGGCTTTGTCGTATATCTGGTTGTATAGTACGATATGGCATATTATTATGATTACTAATAATATAAAATGAAGGTACTATAAAATTAATTTATTCAGCTACTTAAATATGCCCATGTGTCATATCTATTGACTACCAGGATATTTTTTACGGTGTCATATCTTTTGACTCCCAGGATATTTATTTTCGGTGTCATAATAAAAAGGCTAGTTTTTCATAGATCTATCGATTCATACTAATTACATTGTTGGCGGAGCTGGGTGCGTTTTGCCCATTATCCTTTCGTGAAAAAAATGGATTCTTGTGGGTGATAAAAAGCCAAATACCTAATCTGTTATTTTGAATTTTCACAGATATTTTCAGGTTATAACGATGTGAAAAAGTGTAAATACAAAAGTTGTAGATCTTTGAATTACCCATAAAGGAGAATACCCAATATCGTCCCAAGTGATGCAAATGAAAGGTTTTCTAAAATAATAATTTTATTTGTATGGCAGTTACTTTCTATCCCGTGCAAGTAAAAAGATATAAGCAAAGCTAAACGAAAAATTACCTTTTATAAATGGATTTGACTATTAGATAGGTAATTAAATTGACAATTAGTTCTTTGTATAGTAACAAAATTCCTTGCACAAAATATGAACAATTACCTTTGAAATATGATTAAAGACAATTTATACAACATGTCTGTTACTCAATGATATATTCTGTACTACTCATAACTTATTACAAGCTTGGGACGACACTCATAGTAAAATGGGCAATCTCCTTTGCCATTAATTTTTTTCGATGAAAATTATAGTTTTCCTGAAAATCGCGAGAAACCGGTATCCGGAAATCAGGAAAATTGGAAACCAAATTCTAATTTGTTTCTTACCAAATGTGATTTTATCGCTTCTAGTTGTGATTAATAGTAGTACTTATTTTTTTTTAATTATATCAGTATCGCTGACGTTGTTCAGAAATATTAATAATACCTATATTTAAAGATATGGGGTTCTACAGTGCTCTTCCTAGCGTGATGCAGTTAGATATATCGAAACATATGTTTCATAATAATAGTCGACTATTACTCTAGCATAGTGAAATGGAGATCTAGAATCCATTATAAATCTATTAACTAATGGATTTTTAATGGAACGATTAATTTAAATGACATTTCATTATTTTCCATCGACGACGAATACATATCAAATATTTTATGTACGTTACTTTAATAAGACAAAGAGAAAGATCTTGTTATTTGTTTTGATTGTCTTATATGAATTACGGAGATCCGGAAAAGGATAGGGTAAATGCGCATTAAGAAAACTTATAATTTTACCATAACTGTAGTAAGATGCATTTATAATAACCGAGATTTTTATAAATAAGATATTGATGAAGAAATGCATGCGCCTCTTTTTTGTTAATGATTCATGAAAAGGGGTATCATTACAGTTACATAATAACTATTGTAACAGGTTACTTACGTATCCAACTTTATACTACTTGCTTCTTGATGAACGGAAGTAGTAGTAAATATATGGATGGTAGTATACTTCTATTCCGATTCCATTAGTATCTTTCTTATTATAGAAAATTTGGAAAACTTTTTATATACAAATACTAACCTCCACATTGTTGATGAAGTTTATATGTTGAATTCACTTATAATCACTGCACACAACACAAACCACTGTTCACGAAGAGCAACATCACTGTCACAGCAGCACACACACCAGTAGATGCGTCCATCAGACTCCGCTGGCAATCAGCGCAGGAAGCCGTTCGTTTATTCAATTAGTGGATCGCCCACAGATTTCGTGATTTTAGAGCTCGAGATGGTTCTTTCCCCTCTGGAGGATCAACTGATACTGATGCGGTCGTGATCTTTTATCAGCGCTCGTCCTTCTGCAGAGCACCCTATCTCACTAGCTAGTGTGAGCGACTTCAAGACAATAACGGAACGATAAGCTCATTTGGGCCTGATACACAACCAATAAATTTAATAGTCGTATCTAAATGATCCGATTGGTTGCTCGATTATGTTTATTGTAATGTTAACGAGCACCTAAATGCTATGTCTTTGTTTCTATCGACAACCGTGATAAGGAGTCGCACTCATTACTACACTGCTCGCCTGTTTATCAAGAATTTCGAAATGATATAGCAGGCAATTATGAGTTTGTCTTACGAGTTTATCTTATACGAAGACTATTTTTATTGAGTACCTACATCCAATGTACACTGAGAAGAGCATCTGCTGTGGTGCGTGTTCAATTGAATAAATTAGGAACGACGAGAAATGTTGCTGAGTGGGTAATATCACAGTCTCACCATGGAAGGAAGAACTTCACAAGAAATATAGTAAAAGTACTTAAAATAAAATAGCATTTCGTTCCTAATAACTAATAACTTTGAAAAATAGCTACTTTCTTATCTCACCTCTCCACACAAATCAGAAAATAATAATTTAAAGAAAAGTTTACTAGAAAAAAAAATGTGGGTTACCTACAATGCGAAGAGATGGCGCTGCCTTGCAGCTAAGGCTAGGAAAATTTCGACGCGGCAAATAGGGGCCGTGGTAGCATAATGGTCAGTGCATTCGCCCGGATTGCGAAAGGTGTGGGTTCGAGTCCCGTCCGCTGCCTGGTACGCGTGGATTTTTTTCTAGTAAACTTTTCTTTAGATTTAAACATCTAGCAGTTAAATGCTTAAAAATAAATAAAAAACATAAATAATAATTTACTTGGCTCAGATTACAGAACAGAAAAACTGAACGGCCAGGTATTTCAGAATTTTACAGAAACATAATAAATACTGAAACTTATCATTTTATGGTGAGGTCTGGCTCGGGATCCGTTTGTTGTCTACACATTCTTTTACTAATTTTACTTACACCTTCTAAAATAAAACGAATCTTATGATCTGTAGGTACTGAAGGTGTTGTTCATTGAATTACAAATAAAATTTGAGTGATATAAAAAAAATCAAGGCGTAACTAGTCTAAGTTTATTCCTAGAGGTAAACATTATAATTGTAGATTCAAGTAAACCATAAGTATTATTGAGAAATGTAGGGCATAGCAGATTTGCCGCTGGAATTGGAGCGCCCACCTGGGGAAGTAACATTACAGAAGATCACAGTAAATGGTGGTGTTGTGTTTCGGTCGGTGAGTAAGATTCCTGGGCTCCACAGGGTAGGGCGTTGGGTCAGGGTAAGCAATGGTGCGAGTGATGTTTTTGATATCGCAAGCGCCTATTGTGGGCCGCCTATCATATCATCAGGCGGGAAATACGCTTGTTTGCCTACACTTTTTTTTAACCCAGGAAATGCTTTGCGCATACCCTGCTACTGGGTTATGTGGGACTCTCCATACTGGCCTACACACTAAAACCTTGGGGTGTGCGGTCACCGCCGAATGTGACGATGTGGGATCCTTATTGGGAAGCAACCACACCGGAAGGATGCCCATGCACACCTTGGGCATCCCTCTCCATCAGCTGAGGCCGTGCAATGCAGGCGTGAGTTCACCCACCTCACGCCCGCTGGCGCCATTATTTGCCTACGCTAACCCAATCCCCTATAACCCCGGGAGCATTACTCACCGACGGTAATAAAACACCATCAAAAGGTACCAGCTGTTATTTTACTATGGTATTCTCTAAAGTGGAGGTTACTTTCCCAGCTCCAATTTGATCAATTCCACTATCTGCTGCCACCTCTTTTAAATTTATTTCACAATTGTCTTACCTTCTTTATCGTGTAGTGTATTTATTTATTTCAGGAAAACAACATCATTGTCATATTTCTAGTTACATTTATAATATTTTCTTAAACAAATGTCAATAACAGTTTTCCTGGTAACATATTAACTTGCGTAACATTTTTGTGTCTATCTATATAGTTCATTCAAAGATATTTGCAACAATAGTTTAATTTCTGTCTATATTTTAATTAATTAAGATATCACACTACATGTTTATAAAACAACATGAATATAGTGTACGTCAGCAAATTCTCTATTAATTTATATTATATACTAGCGATCTGCACGGGTGCAATAATTTGAGATTTTAATACAATAATATCATATCCCTTGTTTCAAACTTTCAGGTGGTATTTGGTTTTTGGTGGAGTATTAATAAATTAAAATTGTGTGCACGGACCACACATATATATACATGGATGCAAAATGTTGCAAAAACGAGTAAAATTATTCCATTTGGGAGCTTACGTTGCATGTGCGGCGTAAATGAATAAACTTACGCGAAAATCATGTACGGCTGAATTGTTCCCATTTAGAAGAACTATATAAAAGTCTGCGATAGCATATGCTCATCTTTTTAGTTTAGCTCACTAGAACCTTTTCCCTCAAATTAACGCGGGTGAAACCACAGGGGACCTGTAGTTGTCACATAACTATAATAGTTAGACTTATGTTATCGCAGACTTTTTTGTAGATATTAATGTCCTCTATAAAACTTTAGTACATTACTTTGGTCTACTGTCAATGACTTCCGCAGCGTAAGCGATTTAAGGTTATTTTTTCACATCCTGGGTTATGTTATCGAAGTTTTCATACGGAACCCTAACTTTTTTTAAATGCTCTATAGCCGATGTTCACCAGTGATAATGTAGGATTCTAAACGTGAAAGAATTTTTCAAATCGGTCCAGTAGTTTCGGAGACTATTCAATACAAACAAACAAATAATCAAATCTTTCCTCTTTAAAATATTGTGTGACACTCGTGACGCTCGTAGCGTGTCAGCTTTCGCCGAATAACTCTCCAACTTTCATGCTCATCGGGAAGAGCTGCGCACGCATCCCACACATAGTCGTGTGATGCTCGAGACGCAATTCCGTTTCATCTTCACTTCAATATTCATACAAACCCTGTCCTGACAATGAAGAATATAACAAAGAAAGAATTTTCTAATATGATGCTGAATATTTAAATTAACATTATTTTATTATTAGTAAAAAATATAAGTACAACTATACAAGTCGATTCTATTTTGATTCTCTTAACCTAAAATTAAAGGAGACTTCAAAAGTGGTAGGCGGTTTCCGGCAGCGACGAAACATTTATCATTTGAAAGCTTGTTTTATATTTAACATGAACAGATAGTTTTAATTTTTATATTACCTCCGATTAGTTTTAAATCATATTTAAAGTTGAACAGTTTTGTAAAAATGCTGGCCACCCCCTGTTATAAGTAAACATGAACATCAGATTTTTAGTGTGTAACAGCCTTGTAACAGCCGAAGCTTAGAACGTCAACTCAATTACTATGGCAAATATCAATGAGTGAGTCATGCATGATCGTGATCGATGATGATCGATGTTCGTTAAATCGTGGTCATAATTTCTTGTCAAACCAAGTGGTAGCCAAGGGGTCAAGACCATGTCAAGCTAGCTTAACAATAGTTGTTCATGAATAGCTCCATCTAGCGATCGGACGTAACAACGCACGGACAAGGGCGTGTTTCAACTGGCAACAATCAGTCACCGTTGGAAGTAGTTATCACCGGAACCACGGGATGGCGTTATATATCAATATAAAACCCAAGAGCATGATCGGCGGAGCACTTCCTTTGGCCAAAAGGGGTCCAGCTTCGACTCCTCTCAGCTACATATATATATTCAAAATTAATGTAACGAAGTTGAAAATATATCTTTATTTATTTATTGAGAAGTTCGCTTTATTTCCTCAACAAATGCAGAAAAATATACATGGACCTTCAGAGCCGAATAATATAAGAAGAATCAGAGAAGAAAAAAGAAAACAGAGAAAAGCAGAGGTTTGGTCGTATCGTTCCTTTCTTTCCCTAATCGTATTTGTGCTAAAACTGTGATTAATTACAGTTGATTCGTCTCGCAAATCTGGTTCGCGTGATTAAGCCACGGTGTTTGCAGAGAAAATCGTGAGTACCCTTGTTTTTCATAAAGTGCTAAAATGAGTCTAGTTGTAGAAAATATGGATAGGATATCTGTGCGTAGCAAGTCTCCTTTGCCGGTTTTAGAAAATATCAGTGATAATGTGATTCACGATTTAAATAAAAAACGCGGAACAATCAAGGGTAGATTGACACTTTTTACGAAATTTGTAAACTCCTTTAACGGCCAACCGTTAAACGATAGGCAGTTAAAAGAATTAAAATTGAGATCTAATGCTGCTAAATCTTTAATACAGGATTTTGAAAGCATTCAAAGTTCTATAGAGGAATTAATCTCGGAAAAAGAATTATCTCAGCAAATAGATATACGGGAGTCTTTTGAAAATTCCTACTATAAGGTTTTAACAGAAGTTGATTGTTTGTTGCAGAATACTGCTAGTAATTCGGTCGTTGGTGACAAATCCAAGTGCAATTCAAATCCGTTAATTAAATTGCCTACTATCACATTACCTACATTTGACGGGTCGTACAATACGTGGCTAGAGTTTAGGGATACCTTTCGTTGATACATAATTCAGCGCAACTTGATGATATACAGAAATTTCATTATTTGCGATCTGCTTTAACGGGGAGTGCTAGTCAGGTGATAAAATTTTTAGAATTTTACTCTGAAAACTACACAAAAGCATGGGACCTGCTTAACGGTAGATTTAATAATAATAATTTATTAGTGCATAATCATGTCAAAGCTTTGTTTTCTATGCAATCTATAACTAAAGAATCGCCCCATTTAATTAGAAGGTTGATTGATACCGTGTTGAAGAATTTACGTGCTTTAAAAACACTTGGTGAGCCCACAGAATGGTGGGACACTCTTATTATTCATATCATTATTTCTAAATTAGACTTGCTCACAGAAAAAGAGTGGGAACAACATAAAATAGTAATAGGTAACAGT